CCCAGAGCTTACCACCAGCCCACAGCTGGTTATAAGGATGCCAGCATGGCTCAACCTGTCATTCCTCTCTCTCCCGGACAAGAAGCATTAAGGAGAGCCACTTCTTGGTAGTATGACAATCAATGAGTACCGCTGCCCTGCAGCAACAGGGACCTCCATAAGAAGACAACATGGCAGCTACTCGCCGAGCATACATTTCACAGGTGAGGAACTGAGTCTCGAGGAGGTTAAGTGACTTGCTCCCACAGCTGGGAGGTGGCCAAGTAGGGCTCTGGATTCAGACAGACTATGGGGTGCATATGCAGCAAGGTGTTCACATCTCCAAGGTTCTCCCTACAGGTTTCCTTCCTTCCCCCTCCGACCTCCTTGCTCCGAGCCACCCCAAGTAGCTCCCCTGACCCTGTACATGCATCTTAAATGGTTAGGAGCAACTCTTAGCAGACAGTAAAACTCACAGCTTAGATCCTGGGGAGCCTGGCCCTCTCTGAGTCCCAGGTTGCCAGGGAGGGGAGATCTTCCCAGGGCAGGTGAGGGGCTTAAATGATATCTCCTCATGCATAATGCTGTTAGCATACTGCCTGGTGCATGGTACGTACCACTCAATGATACCTTTGAATGTTTGAATCATACTTGTCTGTTGTCCTCATCTGCCTGCAGAAACCATGAGGGAGAGCACCAGACCCTTCCTCCATCCACCCCCCACTGAAGGGGCCCCCAGAGCACTGATGGGGCTCAGTGGGCAATAAGCCACTTGCTGCCCCCCACAGAGATCCCATGTAGAGAAGGGCTGTGCCCCGTTCCCCATCCCCGAGGAGATAAGCGAGAGCATCCAGAGACTTCCGGACCCACAGCCTTCCAGCTCTAATCAAGGAGCAAACACAATGAGGGAATCTCTAAACATTTAGAAAACGCGGGAACTCTGTGCCCCATGCGGCACCGTAGGGATTTATAAAGAACAAATCATGCCTGACAAACTTGATAGCTTTCTTGATAGAATTACAAGACTGGTAGATGAAGGAAATGCAGGCAGGGTAATATATCTTGATTTTTAGCAAAGCATTTGATACATCGCCTCGAGTAATCTTACAAAATTAATTCAAAAAGAGTTGGCCCTAAGCACTTGTCATGTGGCCAAAAGCAGGAGGGGGGCCTGTCCCAAGGGTCCCAGGTGGAGGAGGTAAGCCCAAGCGGGAAGGGCTGAGGGACAGGGTTTAGGAGTGGGGGCAGGGCTGCAAAGACCGAGCACTGGGTCAGATCTTATCTAACATCTTCATTAATGATCCTGAGAGAGGGAGTAAACAGTCCGTTAATGAAATTTGCAGAGGATATTAAATTGGAAGGTGTTGTGAACACCAATGAGGACAGCAAAGTGGTCCATAGAGACCTGGGGGGAAGAACTTTGGCAGGAAACTGTGAGCGTGGGGGATCGGGGGTGGGGAGGTGCTGGCCAGCATCTGGGGCTACCTGGAGAACCAGGGAAGAGGGAAAGTCATCCCCAGAACTAGTGTGGAGCTTGGAGCAGCCACAGCTAGCTCGGGCTCTGGCCAGACAGGCAACCCCAAGAATCTCAGTTTTCCCATCTGTAAAATAGAAGGGCTGGCAGATATCAAGGATGCTTTGTAGCTCTGAGAGCTGGTAGTGATAGGAGCTTGGCGTTGAATTGCACCTTATGGGAGTGGGGGAGGCGAATAGTGACACTAAGAGGAGGGGTTGTCTGCAGGCCAGGGCGGAGAGGGCAGCAATGGAGAGAAGGACCAGTGAGGCAGACTCCAGCTGAACCATCGTGATCACCCAGAATGTCCCTGAGCCACTGCCTGAGGCAGACACTGCTGGGGCAAAACAGCAGTGGGCAGGCCCCTCTCCCAGGCGGCTGGTGGGAACGGGCTGGATCCCGGAGCCTGTCTAGACCTGTAGGGTGTGCTGGGAACACTTGAACAACAGAAGTTTAACTTGGGGGAAGGAGGTTGCCAGGGTCTGTTATCTTTCTGAAGAGCTCCTGGTCCTACCTTGGCAGATCATCAAGAAGGAGATGCCTCTCCAGCCAAGTGAACAAGCCTCTCCGGGATCAGGGAAAGTTGTCCCATCTCAATCCTTTTTCTCTGTCCTCAGAGCCCGGACCTCTCCTGGCCTAATCCCAAGGGGGCTTGCCCCTCCATCTGGACTTGGATTTGTTTCCACAAGGCCGCTAGACAGGTCGGGTCCGAACAGGAGCCAGGGCTCCCTAGCGTGGTTCCAGGCCCCAACAACCTAAATCAATGCTCCGTGGGAGGAAGAAATGCATAGCTGGTTCCCAGCTGGGGGGGGGGACCAGGGCTGCTGGGGGTGGCTCTTCTGAAGCAAGAGTCCAGCTCTACCAGATGTCAAGACCACCTACCAGGACAAAGAGGATGGATCTAGGTGAACATGCTGGGGGCGTTCCTTCCAACCCCCCTGAATTAATAATGAACGCTTACTGAACACTTACGACTCTCTTCAGAGCGAGTTCCTCATATTAATGCAAATGACCTTCACAACAGCCCTGTGAGGTAGGTGCTCTCTTCCCCATTTCACAAGGGAGAAACTGAGGCAGACAGTAGCACTCAGGAGCCCTGGCACCTAGCCAGAAGGCCCATGGGAGAAGCAGCAGACTTCCAGGAGCCTCAGGGGTAGCTGAGCAGCTTCTGATGGGGGAACCCAGGGGATGGGGAGAGGCAGCCCTTCCTATGGGGCCCCCAGAGCCTTGCCCAGCCTCTTCCTGCCCCCCTTGAAGGGAGTTGGTCCAACTCTTGCCACACTTGTGGAGCCTGGTTTTTACTATATGTTTCCCTCTCCCCCACCACCGCTACACCAAGTCCTCCGAACAAGTCTGTTTCCATGGAAACCATACAGTGACTCAGGGCTTCGGGACCGTCTCTGAACCAGATTATGAATATCAAATGCTCCCTCCCCACACACCAATGCAGAGTGAGTTGGAAAAGTAGACAGAGACCCACAGTGGGCAAGGGAGGAAAACAGGGATACGGCAAGGAGAATCAGTGCAGGACGGGTGGAGCGGTGTGGGGGGAGGGGCCACAAGCCTGGTTCCCCAGTGAGAGCCTGGCATCTGGGCCCCCTGCAGACTCCGTGGAGCACAGATGCACACATCCTCCATGTGTGCGCAGCCAGCACACACACACACCCCTCCATCAGCACCATCGGCACCAGCCTTCCCACGCATCTAGGGCCCTGTGAGTGAGGGCAGGGGGGTAAGGGAGCTGGCTCTACATTTCTCTTAATGGGGGCCTCACATGGCAGAGGGGGCTGAAGGGCCAGGGAGGATAGAAGCTGTCTGCAAGAGGAGCTTGATTTCAGATACCAAGGAGGAAACCTCTGGCCAAAAGCATTGCAATGTTCAGCAAAGAGGGAAATTTGTATTTTAGGGGGGAAATGTGATTCTGCTTTGAGATGAGGCCAGGTGTTAGCCTATGTGCCAGGAGGGGGGCGTGGCCATGGTTTCAAAGCCAACCCTTGGGGGGTAGGGAGGATCATTAGTAGAGACGTCTTCTCACTTGTCCCCCACCCTGGCCTGGCCAAGGGCCACTCACCTGCCCTGATTGGGGACAAAAGCAGGGAAATTAAAGTTTGCAATGATAGGTTCCTGGCCTCCTGCAGGGGTGTAAGGCCCCCAAATTCATCCCCTCCTTTCCCGGGTAGTTCCCTGAAGACCCAGGAGGGAGGAGAAGAGGTTGGAGGCTTGATACCTCCCTGGTGAATCCAATGTGTGAGTCATGATGGTGAGAGCACTTGGAAAAAGAAACAGGGTCATGGTGATAACCTGTCAATGTCCTCAGCTGCTGGGGACTGGAGCCTGGGAACTGCCTGCCTAGGTAAGGTCTCTGCCTGAGACAAATGGCCCCACCTCGAGGGGTTGAAGAACCCCTGAAGACAGCTACTTGATACCTTGGCCACCACCTGCTTGCCTCTTACACCTACTGGTTCCTTTGGCTTGCCAAAGCAGCTACCTCCGAGCCAGGGTGCCCGCCTCCTGTGCCCTCAATTCCTAGGTCACCTCTGTCCCCTACCCCTCCCAGATCTCAGAAAGATGTTTGTCCTTGACTGGACATCCACCTCCCCATCTCCTGCCTCTACCTCTGTGTCAATGGTTTTACTCATCTACTGGCACCTGACTCCCAGGCAGCCCTTCTTAGGAGCCTCCCACTTAGGAGCAGTGTTTTAAGTCCATCGAGGAAACCTGCACCAGAGGTAAGGAACCTAATCCTGGGAAAGGGCAGGTCCCGGATGGGGGGAAGGGGCACCCTGTGGCTTCAAAAACAGGCCACCAAGATGCCACCCTAGAAGGACCCTCAGGTCTTACCATTTAACCCCTAGCTTCCAGGCCAGGGCTACTCTCTAGGCTGTTACTGTGAAAGCAGGTATTGGGTTCCCAGAGCCTAGGAAGGGCAGCTCCCTGCGACCTACCCAGAGAAGAGCGGGAGGTTGGTTCTGGCTTCCCGTGGGGGGCTCTGCACCATCTAGGGACCCGGGCGCCCACTGGGAGCCAGCTCATCGCAAAGTGTTTGGGCGAGTGCGGGAACGGGGCTGGGAGCAGGAAGCCGAGGACAGCCCCCTGGCTCTGAGTGCAGTCCTGGTTTGGAAAGTTGGTGCAGTCGTGGGGACCTCAGGGTCTTGAGGCGCCTGAGCAGCCCGGAGCCGGGCAGGCTGCGGGACGGTGAGCCCCGGGCAGCCCCCGAGTCCTCCGCAGCAGAAGGGAGCCTGGCGCCTCGGGGCCGCCGCGCGTCTCAAGTTTGCTGTCCTCCCCGAGTGGGGGCGGGGTGGGCTGGGGTGATCGCGGCACTCACCCGCCACCAGCCCGGAGAGCCCAGTCCTGCGCCCCACATGCTCCTGTCCTCGTCCGGCCCCGCATCGCCGGTAGCGACTACCCCGAGCGGAGGGGCGTCTCCCATCGCTCCCGAGCCCCTCCCGGCTGCTGCGGCGAGTGTCCGCTCCCGCCCGCCCCGGGGCCCGCCGGGCCCCGCCGATACCTGGTCGGGGGCGCACTGGGAGCCGCTGCAGCGCCCAGCGCCGGCTCCATCCTCGGATCTGGAGTCAGGCTCGCCCCGGGCCGGCGGGCGGCGGCGGCGGCAGTGGCGGCGGCATCCTCCGCCCCCCGCGCCTTCCTCCTCGGCCTCCCTCCGCCCTCCTCCTCCACCGCCTCCGCGCGCCCCTCACGGGCCCCTCTTCATGGCCCGGGGACGCGAGCCTGGGGCGTTTCGGCGGGCGGAGAGCGTTCTCCCGGGCAGGGCGCGGGGCCGGGGACCGAGGGGCGCCGGGCCAGGGGCGGGGACCCGGAGCGCCGCAGCCCCGGGCGCCGGAGAAGAGCAGCC